ACAGTTTGGCGTTGAAGTGTTTATACATATAATATGGAAGTTGTATTAAAGACCCCTCTGAACCCACCTGCTGGCCTTTATTTTATTGGTACATTAATATGTTAGATAAGATGTCCCGTACGATATGGCGGGAATTGTACACCGGAAGGAAATTGTCGATCGTCGAAAACAATCGGAAAACTGTCATGTACATACTATTTACATATAAGTACACACACACACACCCACACACATGTTGGTACATTTTAGTGTAACAAAAGAAAAACAATTCTAAGCATATATAGTATATGTTTTTTTCTCGGTGCTTTATTGTATTTGTTCACGGCAAATACAATCCTTTACCAAGTCTACAACCAATTCAAAACCTTATCCAGAACGTACTAAAAGCCGCCCAAGGCGATATACCTAATCATATTACTCGAATCGCTTTAAACGTCTTTAATCGAATCCGCTTGGTTGTCTTTCACAATTAAACACACTCTGGATATGAAGGTAAAAATAACTCCACAACTAGGTAAATACAAAATATACATTAGAGAAGAAAAAAAACCCGATTGCACAGCAATAGTGGAACTAACTAAAATGAATATTTTAAAGCAATTGACTTAAGCTCGAAAACATTATTATGAAAAAAATCAATATTACATACCAAATCTTATAAATAATAATTTAAAATTTTATACTAGATATAAAAATACATGACAAGGTTCCAAATAAATAACTCTTAACGTTGGCTAACGCGAGTCATTTTGAATATATATATATATATATATATATATATATATATATAAGTAAGTAGTAGTAATATATATATATAAGTAATATAAGTTATTTATACTTACAATACATCAGCCTTTGCACACAGGAACTGTTTTATATGTGTCAGCGACAATGTTAACAGATCGGACGATTTCCATCGTTTTGGCAATATTTCATGCCGACAAAAACTTCTCCAAAACAAAACTTGTCACTCTTTTGGCCGCAAAACATTAACATTAGAGTTTTGTGGATTGAGACCAGAAAAAAAAATAATAACCACGTTATTGTAAAAACAATACCCTCTCAACTACGCGTCGAATCCAAAGGACTTAAGGTGGCGTCGCACCGCCCATTTGAAGGAGTGAAGTATAGGCAATTTTTTACAATTTTTTTAATTTCAATTTAAAGGTTAAACTGTGATGTGTAATTATTAGTTCAATAACTAGGACTCTATTTTGGTAGTTCATTTATTTTTTGGACTATCACAGCATCCTTGAAAGCGATTTAAAAATGTTTTTTCATCTCTACATGTTTAAGCAGACTGAAAATAACTCTCTTAATTTTGGTTTTACAGTAAAAGCACCTATTATAAAATTAAAAGAGGACAATATTCCGAAAGGGCAAGACGGTGCGTTTTTTTTCATTATTCCAAGTATAACGCTCAATACATAGTTTGGATATAACGACTATTTTAACATTTTTAAATGACTGTAACTTTAAATATGTCTTGTCTTCCGGAGGAATATTGTTGTCTTTTAATTTTATAATTGGTGCTTTTACTATAAAACCAAAATTAAGCGAGTTATTTTCAGTCTGCTTAAACATGTTTTTACCGCTGAAAATCACCGGTGCGACGCCCTCTTGAGGATTTTTCAAAACGGGCAAATGCATTCGCGGGAAATTGGAAAATTATTTCCTCGATTTTAGTTTACGTTTTTCAATTTTTTTTTTTTCGTTTCATGCAAATTAAATTTATCAAACGACCGTTTAACGAACGGCCACGGTCATTATACTGTTTTCGCTGTGTCATCGCACAAAACGGATGCCGTATTTTTAATGTCTGTTTGAATGCGTTTTACCAGAGCGGTTTTTTATGTATGAATGCGGTTGCTAACCAGGTCTTCTACGATATGATTTCTAGTTCAAACAACATTATACGGCAAGCCCGTAAGACGTACAAAATCCTTCATTACACATTAGTAGCGCCTGTATAGAGACCTCTTAATACGGTTGTTGCGCAACGATAAAATGCGTCTCGCACACATAATAATAATCCGGTCCGACCTGAGCACTGATACGAGGGTGTCGTTATAACTACTTGAAGACATTTATCTTGTATATATATTTCCGTCGACAGCGATATTAGATCATCGCTAAAATAATGTTTCACACATTTTTCAAACATTTTAAGCTGGTGGGGGGCACACTATTAAGAGGGCGTCGCACCGCCCATTTTTAAGGAGTAAAGTATAGGCAATTTTTTACAAAATCTTAATTTAAAGGTTAAACTGTGATGTGTAATTATTAGTTCAATATCTAGGACTCTATTTTGGTAGTTAATTTATTTTTTGGACTATCACAGCATTACTTGAAAGTTATTTAAAAATGTTTTTTCATCTCTACATGTTTAAGCGGACTGAAAATAACTCTCTTAATTTTGGTTTTACAGTAAAAGCACCTATTATAAAATTAAAAGAGAACAATATTCCAAAAGGGCAATACGGTGCGTTTTTTTCATTATTCCAAGTATAACGCTCAATACATAGTTTAGATATAACGACTATTTTAACATTTTTAAATGACTGTAACTTTTCAAAAAAATGATTTTTTTTTTTTAAAACGCACCGTCTTGCCCCCTGGAATATTGTTTTCTTTTAATTTTATTAACTAAAACCAAAATTAAGCGAGTTATTTTCAGTCTGCTTAAACATGTTTTTACCACTGAAAATCACCGGTGCGACGCCCTCTTAATAATTTACAATGACAATATCTGGAAACTGTCAATGATCGGTGCTGGCAGTGTATAGGTATCGCGCTGAAATCGCGGTCCGCGGTCGATTACCAAGTTAGGCCTTGTATGATTATTGGATAAAAAATATAATGTACACATAAATTACCATTGCAATATAAATAGAAAAATGTCGTTCTGTAAGAATTTATTACGAGTACAGAAAATATATAATAATAGCATTGCCGTCCATTCTTTAAGTAATCCTAATCGCCCAGTGAATTATTGCCTAAGGTGGATATACGTTTATTTTCGATATTTATGTTTGACAGAAAACACAATGCAATATTTATGAATTCTACAGACAATCGTGTAATGTATATGACCTAAATCAAAATGAAATGTAATAATTTTTGAAAAAAAACAACCTTAACCGAACTCGTTCTTCTTTTCAATGTATTTTTTTTGTGTACTTACAAATCATCAGGAGTAAATATTATTCTGACTGGGTGACTACTTTGACTACTAAACCCATAATAATGTCTTACCGGAAAAAAATACTAATGTCGTCGGGTTGGATTTTAAAGTTCATAAAACTGCTTTTCTAAAGAAGTTCTTAAATAAAAAAAACCAAAAAAAAGTAAGCAGTTTTAAAAGTCAGTTGCAAAGTGTGGAAATAAACTTATTTAGAATATAATAAATTTATTGTAAGGATAGAAAAAAAATTTAACGAACTGCGTAAAAGCTATTTGCGAAACTTTTTACTAAACTTTCGCTTGTGTTAAAATTAATTATTTATGAAATAAAGCAAATTAAATGCGAGTGACTCATACAGATTGTTGGTAATTACTAATTAGTACAATGTTAGTGTACATACAAATGCAATATTTATTGTGTATTAATTCAGAACTGCTTGAAATTCACAAAACAAACAAAAATGCATTATAACACTACACTCAACTATACTTATGGAAGGATCCATTTACCTTTCAGACTTAAGTCGCAGCAGATGGAAATCTCTCCTTTAAAGGGGGCTTGATGGCGGCAATTGTTATGTGCCCTATTTACATAATTTAGGACAGTACATTCTGTGAGGTGAACGAAGGGTTAGGATTCAACCACTTCCATTCGGAGACGCACACAAGCTTCCAAGCAAAGCTAAGAAGATTTACAATGATATATGATGCTGGAGTTTTTTTTTTTGTCCGTTTTGATATCTTTTGAAAGAGCAAGACCTATTTCATTGATCAATTGAATAATATTGTGTATATTGCTTGTAAATGCATTAATCGATTGTATGTTGAACAAGTTAATTTCAACGAAATAATTATTAATTTCTTGTAAAATAATTTAAGCTTTCTCATATCTTTCCAGGTCGCATAAACTAGGTTCGTTGCAGTTTATTGGAATTATTAAAATAGTTCCTTAAACATTAAATTGTCATCTCTACGATTGGTTTTGTAAAAATGTGAATTGAACCGTCGTTGAATTTATTAACATTGTCTGCGATTCACAATATATTGTATTTATTTATTTTTTATATCAAGATAATCTTATTTTGCTATCTGGGTATTGCTAATAGTAATAATAAAATATTTTGTAATATCCACTGATTCGTACTCGTTATCTAATCGTTACCAAACGTCATCGTCTCGAGTTACGAGTAGCAAAAGAAGATAAATTTCTGACAAATAGACAAATGCATTGAGCTGAATAATAATTGTAAATTGCTTTCAGTTACATTAAAATTACATAATCTAGAAATCCGTTAGAGATTATACGCTACCTTTAAATTGTTTTTATGCTCCAGACGATGTGATTTTTAGTCCATTAAATCGCAATAAATTCTCGAACGGGAGATTTATGGCTCTGATCGTGGAAATACTTTAAAAGACCTGAATAGTCTGTGTAGTACACCGTCGCACTATGAAGTGTTCATTAAACATTCATTTAAAGTGTGGAATAAGAGATTTAAAACGCAGCAAGACTATATAAATTAGAACTGGTACCCAAAATATACTATATGTATTTTGCCAACAATTTAACAAGTTCACCCTTACTCTTTAAAATCGAGAAAAACACCTAATAAAATATGTATTTGTGTTTCGACTTGTATTACAAAATATATTCTTACGACAAAGTCTCCTATAAACGATGACAAAAACCAAAAAATAATATCATACCCTTTCCCATCAATAAGCCTTTAGGACTTCAAAAGTCCTCGAAAATTATTTTGAAGGTAGATTTAAAGTTTTGTTTTTTTTTTTCGATAACTTGGTAACTTTGATTTCAGATGTCAATGGATGAATTCAAAGTGACGGAAACATATTATCTGACATGAACGTGCTGGCGGCGAATGAAACGTACTGGGATCAGCTGAACGACACCGAAAATTACCTGCTCTTAACTCGAGGGCCCAAACACCTGTCGCTCAACATAGTCATCCCGATCACTATCGTCTATGTATTCATTTTTGTCACCGGAGTGATTGGTAACATTGCCGTATGCGTGGTCATCATACAAAACAACTTCATGCACACGGCCACCAACTACTATCTGTTCAGTTTGGCCATATCCGATCTCACGCTACTGCTGTTAGGTAAGTCACGCATTCCATATGTACACTTATTTAGAAGGAATATTTCATCTATTAGCTTGTTATCTGTGGATTGAGATAAAAAATTCAATAAACGGCGAAATGCGTCATAAAATAACTCGAGTGTGAAGTTTTAAAAAAGACATTTTTCTACATCATTTTAAGCCAACATCGCTTTTGAACGAAAAAATCGAGGTTGATAGTTTACAATAGCGTTTACACTGGATATTACGGTATGTAAATGTATAGTGTATCCAAGTATACATCTTAAGTGATAACATGTTATGAAGTCCTCAGCAATAACTAAGTATGGTTTACCGTTTATAAAAAGTGTACTAATCGACCGTGATGATAACCATGATAATCTAACTATGATGATGAAAAATACAAAACCAACAGAATCGACGCGTTATATCATCCTATTCAGCTAAAAATTAATTTTTGAAGATTGTACTTTGACTAAAAACGGCATTAAAGTACAAGTACATGTTATCTGATTTAAAATGGTCTGTTTAATATTTTCACATAGCTATTGGTAATACTTTATCATTTAAAATTTTGTACGTTTGTATTTCAACGTTATTATTCGTTAAAAATAATTAATGATTTTTTTTAGCCTTTTAAACTTTTAAGAAAAGTGTAAAATCTACACCTTATTCTCAATGTTCGATTTGGCCGTTTGACGAAAGAAACCTGTCGTTTATGTTAAATTTCATTCCCTCTGAACTCAAATCGATGTAAGGACAAAATTTAATTCAGTACAGAAGAAGTTAGCAAAGTTGAGTCAAAGCAATTACTAAATCACAATCAAATCTGCAAATCTGGAAATAGTAAGAATCCAGCACCGCAGTATAAACTAGCATACTTTAACCAAGCATAGTCCAAACCATTAGTGTGTAATTTAATGTATTGCGGGCTAAGTTTTTCTAGCGCTATGCGCCTTCAATGGCCTCTTCAAAACCTAACAAATCCCTTCCAAAAAAAAAATTGAGACGTATAGACGAGACCCGTTCGCGTTTACCCGTGGCCTCGGACAATAATAAAAGTATTTAAACACCGTAAAGCAAACGTATTGTTTAACTCCTCGGGTAACGGCAAACCGACAGACGAAGCTGCAAGTCCTCGAGGGGATAAGTAATAGGAAACAAAGTTTGCACAGAACTTTGCGGTTTCGTTTAAAGCCTTTTTAAGTCTTATATATATATAGATGTATACAATTTTGCCGATGAGTTGGCGACACGTTGGCGATGAAACGGCGTCGTCATTGGTGGGGTGGCAAGGTGGATTACGACGGCTCTGGTCTCGACGGGGATGTTTAGGTGAAAGGGGAAAAAAGGTAAAGGGTTATCCGCCGACAGACCGGATCTGGGCAGGTACCTGCGACCGCGTGGGAAAAGATTTATTTCGCGGCTTCCGTCTCTGCTGCCGACCGACCGACCGAGTCACTTAACGCGTCTATTGATTTAACACCCTCGGCTGAATCATAATAGCAATCATAATTAACCGTGTGTATTATATAGCATGTGCACCACACACGGTAAGCCCTGCCATGTCGGCTTGATTGTCTGAACGATGCGCGCCACAAAAAGCGGCAGACGGGCGGTTTTGTTTTAAGATGAATACAAGATTCTATAACGCCGCCTTCGCACACTTCGTTAATCTCAAAACCACATGTCGCTGAATATATTTACATACAATATAATAATATATATAGTGTGTGTGTGTGTGTACATAATATACGGTCTTACTGTTTCGTATCCTAAACACACAAACAACAAACACGAGTTGGGCGAGTGAAATTTCACCATTCGGCGAACACGGGCGCCGCCGTATAGTTAATTATATGAATGTAAGATTTAAGATTATATACGATTATAAGATAAGATCGGCTATTATTCGCTGGTCGGGAAAATACACTTCATATGCAGCCGTTACGTCGTGCCGCCGGGGCAATCGAAAAATGATTTAGGCCAACTGAATCTGAAGAAAAGAACATTGTTGGATCGTGAACGGCTGATTTCCCGTCTCTTATCGTAATGTATTTAGCGAAAACCTATTTTGTTCATACCCCGGATTTGATCATTTGGAAAATGTCCATTAAATATTTTTACCATAATGACCAGACTCCGCCTTTGATTATTTATCGGTTATTAGTGTGTGTGTGTGTACATTGCACGTGTTAAAATAAAGAAGCAATAAACCAATTGCTGTCATTTGCACGAAACACGTGATAAAATTGGATATAAAAATCGATAAATCATACAATAATAATATCCGTCAAAACTACAATACACCTATGTATAAATTCGGTATATATTATACTTTTGTTTTGTACACACACACACACACACACACACAATACCGAATAAATTAAATTATACTCTCTATTAGGTCTATTATGATAAATACCTATATATATATATATATATATATTAGTGTCACGTTTATAGTTTATGTGTGTAATAATTGTATTTATTATTTGCTCGTCAATATTTGCTGACAATTAATTATCGCATAACGATATTTATGCTGGATAAATGTAAACGTCTAGACGGTAATATTTATCGCGCAAGGGCGGCTTTTCATAACCCTTTCGAACACAATAATAATGCAATACAAATCTGCATAATATAATCTACAGGATGTGTTTGCCGCAAACCGTTTTGCGTTATTTATGAACGCCGAAAATTTTTATAATATTTATTTATTATAACGCACTATTTTTTTCTTCTTTATAAATGGCCGCCACGTTACCCCGTTAGAAAATACACAGAGTAATATTACGGTAGGTTAGGTACACAGGGTGTAATCTTATGCACGGGGCGGCTAATGTAGATAATAATAATGGTCGAGTGAATACCTACAGTTTATACTTTATATTATATCTACCCGACATGAAAAGATGTACGTATAATTCATTTGGTTAACGGCGCCCCTGCCTTCCACGACCTCGCCATATATTCTGTATAATATGCTTAAGTGGAACTTTAGAGGGAAAAAAAAGTTGTAATTCCTAACTCGACCTCCGAGCGAGACTATTTTTATAATACAACAATATATACAATATTTATAGTGTATGGTTCGTGGTGGTGTATTATCGTTGTACCCTAGAGTAAAAATACCGTAACAACATTTTTAATACTCTGTACTCAGCAATGAAGTAATCCCGAAGGTGAGCGACAGAGTGACCACCTTCTTAGTTGTTGTGTACAGGGCATTATAAATATTATATAACAACTTTGTATATTTTACACTGTGGCGTGAAATGATGTTCTAAATACAATAACAATGTGTGGATAGGAAAATGATATTAGAGAAATCAAATTGGCGAAAGAGTACATGATCTCTCACGGATTTGTAATAAATATTTTGTCAGTGGAATCCTCAGTACTTCAAAAACCTGAGTGCTAAATCCAATTACTTAGCGCAGAGGTAAAAAGAATGTCGGTATACTGCCATGGATAACGTGCACTCGGTTCTAGTGTTCTAAATTTCCTAAAAAAAATTATTTCTCAAGAAAATACTGTACGCAACAATCCTAAAACATAATAAAAACTGGAACACATGTTTGTGTAAAGTTGTGTTATAAATAAATACGTACAAAAAATGTATTTAAAAAACTAGTAAAACCAGAATACGTTCTTTTTAACATCGTACCTACATAAATAAATATTAATTTCCACTTTCCTTTCAAAACTTAAACCAAAAAGATATCAAGCTATCTAATAAAACCTAATACGGTACAAGTAAATTTAGGGAAAACAATTGTTTTCATTCGAAAATTATTTTTTTTATAAATTTCTTAACTTTTATTTTTTTGAATATCAGGTTTTTTTCTCGTGTTAATCGTTCTTAATTGTTTCTTTTTAACTGACTATATCATCATCAAACCTTGTCACTGAGGGGCGTCTTCTATGGACTTATTGTCTCACCAAATGTATTTAATTTTTGCATTTTAAAAATGCAGTTGGTAAGTCCGTATCAAAATAAAGAACGATTGAATACTGTAATATACCTACATATATAAATAATTTTAAACCTACTCTAATTTGGTATAAAAATAAAACATCAAACAAAAATATTAGTATTCAATTATTTACTCGAATACTAAATATTATTTAGAAACTGATTCAAAGACCGCCCATTCATTAAACGACTTTTAATGAACTGTGTAATCGTAAAGGATTCGTTTGTGTGTTATATTCCCATTTTCTAAGTCGTTTATCGTACAGTGCAATGTACACAATACTGTACTAATTGCAATTAGACGATTCGGGTTAAATCCATTTTTTCTTTGATATTGATTTTACAATCACCAAGACTTTCGGCCGTTCGTTGTGGGGTTTTCGCGGACGTTTGTCAAAAACGCATTATATGAAATTCAATAGTTAAAGTTTATACAAAGGGAAACAACATTCGGTCTGAAAACGTTTATGGAATAAGATTGTGAATTTGATCAGTAGCTTTCGGTATTAATTCGAATTAACATTCCGGTTGGTTAAGTCATGCATTGATGCAGAGAAAACCAATAAATTGATAAAAATAACATCAACAAAGTAAATGATTCAAAATGCGTGTGATGCGAGTTGTGTTAAATGATAAAATTATTAGATAATTTCGCGATGAAAGTTATACTAATTAATTAAAAACTTTCTTTTGTTTTTTCGATTAGTGAATTTTTAATTCAACCGGTATTGTGAGCCAAACAAATATATATCTATTATTTATTTATTTATTTCATTAAATTTTTAACTGTAGCTGTACTTTGAATTTACATAATACACAGTGTATTTTTTCTGAAATTGTTCGACGAGATGATTGGATGGAGATGAACTTCGGATTAAAATAATTAACACAATTAAAAAAGGAAACTTGGCAGAGTCGAAAAGATAACGTTAACATAATTAATAAACATAAAAAAAACCAAATTAAACAAGGGCTATGAAGACTATCAATCATGCGCCGGGTGTTGAACATCAACAAACTTGTAAACAGTAGGTACA